ATGGAGCAATGAAGAGTTCTTGGTTCTTACACATGCTTATATTCATGTGTACGAGACAAGCAAGTTGAACGATCCAATGTTTTGGACCCGTTTAACCAATATTTTCAATGCTGAAAACCAAAGGGCTACAAGAAACGATCGTGACGAACTAGACATCTTAGCAAGATGGTATGAAATGAAAACCGAAGTTCTATTATTCAACGATCTTTATACCAAAATTGACGACACCCGTTTAAATGCTACTGAGGAGGTTATCTTGGAAGCTGCTAAGGAGGAATACAAGTCATTAAGTAACGGGTTGGAATTCCAGTTTGAAGCCCCTTGGAATATTTTGAAATATATCCCGTTTGTTTAAAATCTATTTTAGTTTATTATTTGAGTACTAGGTTATTTTCATGTATTTTTATGTATTTCGTATGTATTTCGTTTGTTTAAAATGTATTTTAGTTTATTATGTGAGCAACTCGTATGATTAACTTGAGTTAATAAATGGTCATTGCATTAGTTATCACAATATATTAGAATACATTAGTAACAAGGATTCCATGAACCATTAAAAACATCACAACAATTACATGAAAAACAACGACATAATACGAACAAAGCATTAACGTAAAACACAAGTCCATGGGTTATTCTTAACACAAAATAGAGCCGTCTACTTGAAATACTGTTTATCTCTAACAACCTTCCAAACTTCCTCATATTCGAAGTCTCTGCCGTCATGCTGACAGATGTAAAACTCTGTAACAACTTCCAAGAACTCTTCTTCGTTTACGATAACGAACATTGTTACGTTTCACATAACCACATGCTCGATTGAACCATGTCACTTCTTCCTTTACATCCGTCCACTTAGTAACAACATCTGATTTTTCTCTTTTTTGCCCTTCTCCCATCTCATGGTTAAACAAAGATGTGATGCGACTCCATTCATCACCAATTAGGCAATGCGGGGGAGCAAGTAACGATACACCATCCTTAACACTTAGCCAGCATCGTGTTAGAACTAACACCTCGTTTGTCATCCATGGCCTTTCAGAATTGGAACCAGGTACTTCATTCGAAGAACTTGCTGCATTCGATGACATTTCTAATAATGGGAATTCGTTTCGTTTAGGTGATTCGGGTGTTTGGTTTTTAGATCTTAAACATCTATTTATATAAGTAAATAGACTATGAATTAATACTATGACTACGAAATGGTTATATTTGGACTACGATTTTCAGCTTTATGCAGTGTTTTGTCATGTCAAACTGTAATTTATCTCTTGTCCCTTAAGGGTCCCACTGTTATGTGCAGGTTACTACAGTGACTTGTCATTACTGTCTAGTCATTTCAAAGTTGGACTTGTCATTACTGTCTAGTTTAATACAATATCAACTTTATTATGACTTCCTCACACAAAATTGAAATTTGCTCATGCAACGAAGTAGATTGTTATTATTGTGATTCAGTAGACCCTTTTTTTACACCATTGAAAAACGGCTTCCTGAGAAGGATGAGCAGTTGATACACATTATGGTAAAAAAGGATCGTTTCAAAGACAAAATGAGAATTAGGGATGACTATATAACAATGGAGAAAGATAAGTACCCGTTGCAGTTCCCTGAGTTTAAAAATTACTTACAGATTAGGTTGCAAAAGGATCGTTTGTTGTTTTTTAAATAACATGTTGTAACTGTTAAAAAAAAATCTGCAAACTATATTTTTTAATATAAAGTCTTCACTAATTGATATAATCAACAAACTAAACAAAAATATGAAAGCATAGCAACGTCTTGTAAGATTTAATAAAAATATTACAATACATAATAAGTTAACAACTCGTCATTACTCTTCATTTCAAGGATGTTTTATATCAAAATCAGCGTTATAGGTTTGTGAGCAACTCGCTGAACCACCAATATTAAATATCATTTCTGCAGTAGAAATTATGTGACGTGCTCCGCTACCGGACGCCCTTCCAATACAATTATTTCTTGTGTGTCCAATTTGACCACATGTAGAACACTCTTTTATAATTGGACCCTCGCCTTGGGATGGAATGCGGTATGTGTTTCTTGACCTACCTGGCTGACGTTTATCCATTATTGGTGGCTTAACAATCATCAAATCATCAGGAATCTCCCATTCGGATGGCTTTGGCAGAGGGTTTATTGATTCCTCATATGTTTTCCTCAGTGTTTCGGTAAAGTAAGCATTTAATGCATACCTCGAGCAGTCTTCGTAATTGTTCACTGTTAAACATCTTATGACATGACCACAAGGTATCCCATCAAGTTGCCAATGCCTACATGTACATGTCATATGTTTGAAATCAACAATCACATTTTGTGCCCCCTTTTTTACCTCGCATTTCGTATTTGAGATCATGCGAACATCCCATTTGCTAAACCTTTTCTTGTTCTCTTTTACAATTTCATCCGCCCAAGGGGTAATAATTGTTGTTGCTTCCGCTAAAAAAAGAGCCAAAATGAAGAAGTTAAGATCAATAACATCAAAATTAATAAAACATTAATATTAAAATTTTACTTAATACCTGCAAAGTTACGTCTTTGAAACCACCATTGTTGCATTGTAGCACAAAAAAAATCGATCAACATAAGTATTGGCACCTTACGTGCGTGTCTAGATAATGCATTTATAGACTCCGCACTGTTGGACGACATAAGATTGTATCGGTTCCCTTTAAAATGTGCTCTGGACCAAGTTTCTGGATTTATACTTTTCAAATACTCCCATACTGGTTCTTTTGTCTTTTTCATAACATCCATGGCGGCATCAAAAGCATCAACTGTGTACGCCCTACACGCCTCCCAAAAAATTCCTTTAACCATCTCACTCTTGCCGAATCTAGAGACTATGTTGAAATACAAATGGACACCACATATTCCATGATGAGCATGAGGAAAAATGTTGGCAACGGATGTTGGTATAGATGGAGACCTATCAGATATAATTGTAAGCTCCTGCATATTTCCTATGCAATCACGTAGTTTTTGAAAAAACCATGTCCAAGAATCGGTACACTCATTTTTGCATATACCATATACAACCGGTAATATTTGGTTTTGTCCATCCTTAGTAACTGCAAGTAACATGGTACCTTTGAACTCGCCCTTTAGGTGAGCTCCATCTACTACTAGGGTCGGTTTACAAAAATTGACAAAAGCGCGTACCTACAATACATTGTATATCTATTCAAATACACCAAAATAAAAATTAAAAATTAATATAATATGATAATACTAACCGAGCAACCGAGTGCGACGTACAAAAACTCAAAGTGATCATCAACATCTGTTTTAATATGTGTGACAGTACCCGGATTATGTTTGGCCAAGTTGTGACAATACGCCGGAAGTTTGGTAAAACAATCCTCTTTCGAACCCCTTAACGACAACAATGCATATTGCTTCGCACGCCATGCCTGATGGTATGAGATATTGATATTCAATTGAGCATTCATATCATTAACAATTTCTTTTCCCCGATAAACTCTACTATAGTCTTCAGCCAAAACATCAGCAACATATTCACCCAAAACATATTTGTTTGCTTGTCGATGATTAGGTTACAACAATGTTGAAGAACATGTGTGTACATCAACAAATTTATTCACATGGAAAAGATCATCAGAATTTTTAATTGCTTTTGCTCTTAGTAACCAAGAACAATTTTTCGAAACACACACAACTTCATACCTTGATTTGGTGGATCTACTTATCCTCGTCTGCAAACCTTCTCGAAGACATTTTTTACCAATACACTGCTTTAAAAGTTCTTTGTTCTTAAATATACTCTCACATTAAATCTTTTGAAGATTCATGTCTACCATCTGTGTTGGGATATCTTCATTAAAATCAATTGGCCATGCTGGTACAAGGGGCATACAGTGAAAAAAGTTATCGGGAAACTTAGCTTTAACTTCATCACCCAACTCATCTCTATCGGAATTGCTTTGTAGCTCGCTTATATCTAAACATACATCACCAACATCAACATAATGCCCGTAAACATGATTTTTTTTCATTTTTTTGACTTGATTTTTTTTCTTTTTAGTTTTATCTACCACACGCCTATTCATAAGTTTAACTTCTTGTTCGGCAACATCATCACAACGACCACCCACATTATTAAGATATGCACCAACATCATCATCACCAACAGACTTGTAATTCTCAGGTTCCACATAGTGAATAGGTGAATAACTAACATTAACATTTTCAGCAATACTGTGAAACTGAGGTACACTAAGAGTATTGAAAGTACCTATCGGATCGTTGCTCCCTTTATAACTGCATAAATTACCAACAACCTGGTTTCCAATTTCACCACCCCCATTAACCTCCTCAACTTCATCAACCACCACAAACACTTTCACAGCCCTTCCTCCACTACATTTGATTACGTTTATCAACATTCTAACATCCATGTCTTCAACTATAGTTATATAATAATTTAATTCAGGATGGTGGAAACGAAGACTAATTCTATATTTGTCTAACAAACCAATTTTCCTTCTTACCAAAGATACAAAATCACTATAACTAATATACTCAAAAAATATCAAAACAAGTTCAGAAATATCTCCTTGTGGACATATGTATTCCAGAATAGTTTCATTAACTTGCCATCGTCCACCGGTTACAAGACAAACCATATATTCAATCATTTTTTGAGCAAATTGTAGAGAGAGTTCCTAAACAAACAAATAACAACCAAAATGATATTTTTTCTACAAAACTATTTATATAGCAACCTGATTTCATAGTCAAAACAAACCATTTAATAGTCAACCTAAAAAAAAAAAAAAAATCAAAATTCAAAATTAACAACGATTTCGCAGATAGAGTCAGAGGATTTCGCAGATGGACCTATTCCATCTGCGAAATTACCCCTATGTATACAACAAAAAATTTTAAAAAAAATAATAATAAACCACCTGCAAAAGTACAAGCACCTAAAGCACAAAGCACAGTTGTGCTTTAGGCACTTGTACTTTCGCAGATGGGAGCTTTTTTTGTAATGTCATTAGTGTAAATGACTATTTTTGTAAATTTCTCTTAAAAAAATACATGTTGGATTCCAAAATTACCCACATATCTCAATTACTTATATAACCTCTCTCATACAAAGTTATCAATTTAGCATGAGGATCCAAATCCAAGGATTTTAAAACTCCCTTGAATTATATTACCTATCAAACCAAATAAACACAAAACCAACACAATTTATCTCTCTTCAATTCTTGGTTTCACCACCCACCAGTTGGTTCTCACACAGTGTTTGAAGTGCTGGCCTTGCTTCTTTATTATCCACATTCAAAGTCTTCAAAGTCAACGCCTTGAGCTGCTTCCTTAGTTGCCTCAAACTTACATCTTGTAAATTCTCCTTCATAACAACAACATTCTCATCCTTTTCTTTCTTCATCTTGTTCTCTTTGTCATCCGACATAAATCCACCAATCTTCTTCATTGGAGTTGGGACACTAATTTTAGTAACAATCAAGGTAGATTGATTTTGAAAATTTTGGTTTTCTTCTTCATATGAATCTGAGTCAACTTTTTCGTTGACCATGGTTGATGACGCTGAAAAAAACGATCACAATATTCCCTTATATACTTTTAAATCAAAAAGGCATTGTTGTAATTTGACAGATTTTGGAAATTAAAAATTACCATTAACATTGTTCTCCGAGTGTTCTTTTAAATCAAAATTTGCACCAGGCTTTGAAATTTCTTCTGATTCCACGTCAGCATCATCATCAAGAATGCTCTCAGAGTTTCCTTCTTGAATCAATTCACATGGAATCATTTCAAGCTTCTGAAACGAATTACAAACATCTTCCACTTTTGCATCTGGATTACCTAAGATTTTTTGGTTTTAGCAATAAAAAAAAACAAGAACATTAAAGAACATTAAAAATAAACTTCGATTGGTCTTTCTACCTGCATCCATGGCGTTTTCTGGAACTTCATAAGGCAAAACCTCTTCGAAATTCACATTGGCTTCATCAATCTTAATAACCTTTTTTTCACTTTCGTTTTTAACTGTTGACTTTTCAGATTTCTGTTCAGTCAACCTAGTTGACCTTCTCGAGCTGAATTCTTTCTGCAAAGTACCCTCCTTTTTCATGGTGGTTGAAGGTGTTGCCACCTTTCTCCGGCTGCTCCTTACAGTTGCTATACCGGGTGTGCACCACTCCATCTTCTCACCTTCTTTTGCATCTTCATCACAGTTTTTAAGTTGACACTTCTCGTTCCGGCGAGATGAAGTCGCCGGAGTTTTCCTCCTGGTGGTCGAATGTGCCGGGGTTGGGTGGCTGATAAGATCAAACAAAGTTGTCGGATTTGGAGAGTGTTGGTTTTTCTCTTGAATGGAAGAAGATCCTTCAAAATCCACATTTTCACATGGTTTTGATGTGTCATCTAATTCCACGTCAGCATTATCTTCTAGAAAGTTCTCCGAGTGTTCTTCAAGATCAAGATTTTCACGTGGTTTTGAAGTTACATCTGATTCCACGTCAGCATCAACTTCAACAAAGCTCTTCGAGTGTTCTTCGGGAATGAATTCTGGTATCTTCTCTTCAAAATCCGCGTTTTCACATGCCTTTGAAGTTTCATCTGATTCCACGTCAGCATTATCATCGTGAAAGCTCTCAGAGTGTTCTTCTGGAATCAATTCGAGTTTCTCTTCTCCAAATTCCACATTTTCACATGGCTTTGAAGTTTCATTTGAATCCATTTTTGCATCTGAAAACATAATTATTAATTTTAGCAATAAAGTATTTATAATATAAAAAAAAAAAAAACAAATCAAGAATTGGTTGAAATCTTTCTACCTGAATCTATGGCGTTTTCTGCAGAGAAAACCTCTTGGAATATCGCATTCACTTCATCCAACAGTGAATCAATCTTTTCAGTCTTTTCAATCACCTTCTTCACTAATGAATCTCCACATTTCTTTTCAGTCAACCTTGTTGACTTTCTAGAGCTGACTTCCTTCTGCATGGTACCTTCCTTTTTCACGGTGGTTGACGGCGTCGCAACCATTCTACGACTGCTTGCTACAACCGATGCAGGTGTGCACGACCCCATCGTCTGACCTTCTTTCATTTGACTGTTCACATTCCGGCGAGATGAAGTCGCCGAAGTTTTATGGATAGTAGCTTCATTAGAAACATTTCTCCGGCTGCTTGGAACCGCCGTTGCAGGTGTGCACGAGTCCATGTTCTGATTTTTCATTTGACTGTTCACAATCCGGATTGATGATGTCGCCGGAGTTTTCTGTATAGTAGCTTCCTTTTTCACGGTGGCTGAAGGCGTAGCAACCTTTCTCCGAGTGCTCGCCGGAGTTTTTCTCCTGGTTGTGGAATTTGATGGAGTTTTGAGCATATCATTCTCTTTGATGGAAGAAGAACATTCAAAAACGTCTGATATTTCACCGGAATGTTCGACAGCCACCTCAGTGGAAATTTCCGGCTGATGATCGTCATCTTCTTCTGTTATGGGGGAGAGGCTATCGATGGTTGGGATCACATCCAAGGTTTCCGACAATTCTGATTTTTCATTATCAAATTCACAAACTTCTTCTTTTTCTTCTACTTTTGCATCAACTTCATGAACTATCAAATCAATCTTCACAGGGGAGATGCTATCAATGGCAGCAATAACATCGGAGTTTTCTTCATCTGAAATGAAAGTACATATTGCACTTGATAAGACTACATGAATCAAACATGAGCCTATAGACAAATATTTATGATTGATGTATACATACCCATGTTTTCCGATGAATTGATATCATTTGAGATTTCTTCATCAGCGTTTCTTTCGTTTTCATTTGGATTCTCAGAGGTATCAAGAATCATATCACTATCCATGATTGAAGAACCTAAAGGAACACAAGATGTAATTAAGCAATTGCTAGAATATCATAACATGGTGAATCTATAAACTGAATCCTGAATGTCTAATTACCATTGTTCATCTCTGAAACGGCTTTGACTTTCAATTCTTCTGGCCCATTTAAATCCTCAATGTTCTCTTGTATTGCTTCTTCTTCTTCTATAACATCAACTCCTGCACCAAATAATCATGTAATTTAACATCAGTTTGATAGAATGGTGTTGAATAAAAGAGCATAAAAGACATTGAAAAAACCTCTCACCTGTTGAATTAGCATTATCATCTAGAATGCTATCTTGTTCTTCTAACTCCGTAACCTCACTTCCGAGTTTTTCTTCTTCTAAATGCCCATTTTCAATAGGGCTTGAGATGTCATCAATTTCTGGTTTTCCATCATTCAGTTCTTCTTCTAAATTGTTTTCCTCATTTGGATTTGGGATTTCTTCTGATTCCAGCTTTAGATTGTCAACTTCCCCAGAATCTTCTTTTTCTTCGCTTATATCAACATCAAGTTCCTCCAATGCATTACAAATGTCTTCCACTTCTGCATTTGGAATTACTGCATAATCGTTTTACCAAAGATAAATAAGTGGAACGAAACAGAAATTATAATCAAATCGAGAATGTGTTTTGCTTACCTGCATTCAAAGTGCTTTCTGGAACTTCAACAGTCGAAACCTCATCGGATGAATCATCATCATCATCCGACAATGCAATGATCTCAATAGCCTTTTCACTTTGCTTCCTCACTCTAGGCTCTCCAGATTTCTTTTCGGTTTGTCTAGTGGAACGTCTCGTGCCATATGTTTTCTGCACAGCAATCTCCTTTTTCACGGTGGTTGAAGTCGTCGCCACCTTCCTCCGCCCCTTTGCTACAACCGCTTCCGGCGACTTCTTATCTTCTTTTGAATCTAGTTCGCAATCATTCAGTTGTTTGTTAACACTCCGGCAAGATGAAGTTGCTAGAGCCTTCCTCCTTGTGCTGGAAAGGGCTGGAGTTTCCAGAGCTTCGTTCTTTGCTTCTTCACCTCCTCCGGCAACTTTCTTAGCTGTCCTGCGAGTTGTCCTGGTGTTTGTTGGTTTCAAATTTTCAACTTCGGTAGTTTCCACCTTTTGCATAGTAGTTGTTCTGTTTCTGGTGATTGGGACTTTAGGTGAAGAAACCTCGACGTTTTCTTTGGACTCGTTCAAATCAACTGTTTCAGATTGTGAGACGTTGATAAACTTCTCAATACCTTCAACCTATCAATATCATAAACGAATTTTTCTGTAATCAGTGATTGTTTTATCATAACAACCGGAGTTTACGCTAAAATAGAGAAATTATTGAAGAAATTACGAAGAACACTATGAAATCGCCAAAATTATATAAAAAAAAAGGATTTGTTTCTCGGAGAATTTAACAAGACTTCAAACATTCAAAAACTTTTCACTAAATTGAATTGCTAATACAAAAACCGATTAATAAACTATAACGAAACCACAAACAATTTACAAGTAACGAGTTAAACCTATAAACGAACTGCAATCAGATGTAACAGTACATGACCAAATCTCCAATAACTTATAAAAAACCTAAACACGCTCTCACTGAAGATTTATGCAAGCAAAATCGAGACAAAAAACCAGCTACAGCAATAATACGAATTAAACAAATCAAATCGAAATCTAAGAACTCACATTATCAAGATCTCGAAGAGCATCCGCCATGACATGATTTTTGGTGTTGGCAGCGATCTTGTTGAGTTTGCAGAGAAATTGAAGCTCTTTTCTGGTAAGACTGTGGAAATCCATGAGATCTGAATTAACAAAGGTGAACGGGAACCTAGGGTTTTGGATAACGTTGAATTCGTGAATCTGCGTATGAGTGAGATGCTCAAAATGCGATGAGGAGCCTCAAAATCGTCTAGACATATTTATACCAAAACCCTTGCGCGGGATTACCGTTGGAGCAGCGGAAATTTGAATTTTGAATTTATGACTGTTGGAGTGAATCTTTTACTATTCCAGATTCATAAATTCTTATTTTCAGTGTCATGAACCATTAAATATCGATTAAATATAGACTTCAGTGTGTATTGAAATTTGTACATATTATATTATATCTATAAAAATCATAAAAATGACCTTGTCCATAGTGTTTCCTATCTTTGTGTGTTACTAAATTTTAACGTTGGAATGCTTGAGGAGAAATGGGGTCAGATGAGTCTGTAACCAATTAAACAGTTTTATTTTAAATATATAATTACCATATGATATGAGTAAATTAGTATTTTAATAATGATAATATGAGCAAATTAGTTTAGCTTCTTATGCCTGTGCATCTTAATTTATATCGGGACATATGCATTCACGTTTCTTATTAAACTAAGAAAATATTTGCGCACTGATCATGAGTGTTGTTAAAATAACTAAATGTTTGGTTGTCTACGATTTACAAAAATAAACTGATTTTCAATTGCAATGAAAAGAAACATGAAATTTTTGTATCTAGGGTATTTCCTATTATTTTATTGGATTAATAAGAAATCTAAGATATGTTGTTGCTAAATTGGTTGACATGATGTTCTAATCTTGGTGTTGTTGGTTGTAATGTCGTGTACCTTTAGCATCTTGTTAGATTTTGCTTTTAAATAATAATAAAAAATATTTCTTCTAAAAAAATTAATAAAATAAAAATATGTTTTACACTAAATAAAAATAATAAACTTTATTATCTTGGACCGTATAATAAAAGATAAGATCATTCACAATACATATCATTAATCATTAAAATGATGAGTGTCACTTCATCATCACATAATATCATTAAAAACATAAGAGACATACCACTCATATTCAACTTTACATCATTTTTTATAATTTAATTTAATTTAAAAATATGATAAACACATTTTTTTAACTAGATTTTCATTATATTAAAAAAATCATTACATTAATTAAAAAATGACAATTTAAAATAAAATTTAAGAAAATTCAAAAACAAAAAGCTACCCTTAATCCAATTTTTTTAAACATCGTTATTTCATTTGGGGAATTTTTCAACTTTTGTCAAGCTTTAAGATGTGTAAATAGTTTGTGGTTTGTGTTTTCATATTGATCCATGACCATATTAACCGGATTGATATTGCTTTCGTGTACATTGTTTATAACAAACACAGTTGTAAATTTCATCGAACTCACACCATTTTGCCCTCATATCGCATCACTTTAAATATATTTCATTAAAATTTTGACTTGAACAACCCATTAAACCATAGAAAACGTTTCAAACTTTTCCTTAAAAAATCTCTAGAGATTTGACTATCTTTGTCTTCCGAAACCGCACTCATACTTGTGTTAACTTCTCTTTTTCATTTTCTGACCAATTCATCATTCTGGATTTATTTACTCAAACTCACAACTTCATGCTTTGGACTTCATTCCAACAGATTTTGAAATTCAATTTCTTTTATGGGGTTTTGAATGTTTCTGTTTGGTGGGCATTTTTGGTCCTTTGAAATATCAATGAGTCTAATTCTTGATTGGGTTTATTTACGCAAACTGACAACTTCATGTTTTTTACTTCATCCCAACAGATTTTCAAGTTGCAATGAAATTATGAGGTTTTGAATGTTTCTATTTGGTGAGCATTTTTGTTCGTTTTAGATATCAATGACTCTTTTCATTGGCAATGTTTGATACGTGTATATCTTTTTTATTATAATATAATAATTGATTATCAGTGACTCTTTTCAATGAGTCTTTTCCTTATGCAAACTCTTTTCAATCAGTCTTTTCATTATGCAATTCTTTCAAGTATCTGGTATTCGTGTTGCAAGCTTACTATATCAAATGCTACTTCCATTGACAGAAATAAGAAGCTCACAAAAAGAACTCAACAATGTGTGGTGGAAGGATTTCCTTCGGGAACAATGTTTGCAGTTGTTGGTATGTCGACTAGGCATATTCTAATATTTTTATGATTATTAAGATAATAATTCATGCTTATTGGGTTTTTTTGGATGATATAAAAATTGAACAACTGTTTTTTCTATTTTCTTTGTTTATAGACGGCAGATTTATAATTTACTTGTAATCTTTAGTTGGCTTATACTTCAAACGTAAGACCACTTCTTGTTAATTAAGGTTGTTCGTAATGTTAGTAAGCTGTAATTATGACAAATAAAATTTGTTATTTTCATTCACATGAAATCAAATCATATATGATATAATTGAATAATGTCACAAATATGTTCTGATTAAATTGGGTTGGGAAGATAATTTGTATATGTTGTTAAAGAAACACTTGCACAACCTTACTAAATGGGCTCAAAACGGATTCTGCAGCTATAAGTTTCAATTCTTACCTGTTATTTCAGATATTTCTTCTTTTTAGGTACATCGGATTTTCATTGTTTCAATTATATCTAATATGAATGCGGGTTGTCAATATGAATGAATTTCAAAAGAAAGCTACAAAAAAGATAATTTTAGTTTGAAATCGACAGTTCGTTCCGTTTAAAAAAAAAACAATTTTTTTGGAAAAGACTTTGGTGTTTATCGTTCCACTCTAGAATTGTTAAATTCAAATTTTTTTAAGTATAAAAACATTATGCAGGGGCATTTTTGGTCCAAAACTATTAAAATCACATTTTTCTAACTATAAAAATAACACGCAGGGGCAGTTTTGTCCAAAACTATTAAAATCAATCTTTTTTAACTTTAAAAACAGTATGCAGGAGTAGTTTTGTCCAAAAATCTGAAAATCAAAATTTTTAACTATAGAAACAGTATGCATAGGGCAGTTTAGTCTAAAAATGTTAGAATTAAAAATTTCTAACTATAAAAATAGTACGTGGCAGTTTACAGTTTTGTTTCCCAAAAAAACTTTAATGTCACAAATTATCACATTATGTCATATTTGAGTGCAGGAGCTATATCCAATTGTTTTTTTTATTTTATTTTATTTTAACAGTTTTGAACAAAGCTATCCCTACGTAGTGTAAATTTGGTTAGAACCAAAAAAATCCGTAATTGCGGACCCCGCAAAGCGGGGTCACTCATCCGGTTATAGTAGTTATAATGATTGAAACTTGAAATTTGTTTAATATATAAAACTTAAATAAATATGAGTTAAGTTAAATATGTATCTCAATTTTCATGTTCTTAGGCTATTGGGTGTGAACATTGTGTTAAGGAATGTTATCTCATCCAAAAGTTGTCACCTCGTATGACATGTCATATATAGTGTTATAACACCAAGTGAAAATTATAGAAGCAAACATAAAACATTTCATTCAAATAAATCTTAATTTAGACATAACATTTAAAAAAAATACATTACATGAAAATAAAAAGTTACAAGAAAATAAAATATGATAATCTTAATTTAAAAACATAAAACGATAGTCCTAGACCAAATATCTCTTGTGGATTTTCTCATTCATCACATGAAGCACTCCCAAATCTCATGGTGACATATATTCCTCGCTCGTCCGAAGAATTTTCAAATCATTCAACATTTGATCTTCCTCTAATTGATAACAAAGGAATTCCAACTGTTGGCATTGTGCTTCGACTCTTTCTTTTTCCATTTAATTGCGTTGGTCAAACTTTTCTTTCTTTTAGGTCAACACTTGAGCCCTTCTTTTGGCCTCATCTGCATGTCATTCAACGTACTTCGTTTTTTCGTGTCCTGTCGACGTGTGTGTGTATGTATGTATGTGTGTGTGTGTGTGTGGGGGGGGGGGGGGGGGGAGATCTCTTCAATGTCATCAGGGATGTCATTGGTTGTTAGTGATTTAGTATTACTAATAATATTCAAGTGTAATGGGATTAATTTGTTGATCAATGTTACTTTGATAAATATTAAACAAGTTAGGGTGGTGCGGAGTGCACGTTTGTTTAAGTTTGTCTTGGTTAAAAGTATAATGCTATTTAGAGGTAAAGCCCCTAAACTGATGGGGGTCGAGGGCAGCGCCCCTGGGAGCGGGATCCAAGGCTCAGAGCTGATTTTAAGTGATAAACCCAGTTTTGTGATCCAAGTTCTAGACCCGATTTTAAGTTAGTTTATAAATGTTTATAACAGGTTTTGGATAGGAAGTTACATTCCTGTAACTGTCATATGGCAGTTTTAAGACAAGAAGTTAGTTTCTTGTTATATTATCATTTTCGAAATCAGTTTAGTACACACATGATCATATCATCTTCTACATTCTCTCTTCTAAGAACATTTAGTTTTATCTAATTAGAGATTTTTTAGCGTACCCTCGAAATGCTTTAATATGAAAGTGTTTCCTAACTCTCATTGATCCAAGCATTCTATTACCCTAATTTTCTAACATCGGTGTCGGCATTGAACACGATGTTAGTTCGTACGTCGGAAACGTCAAATAGACTTGAACTGTGTAACCTCTTTGATTGTAACTCCGACGATGTTGGCGTTTTAATCCATTTTGTATATTTTCTCATAATCTTCCATATTTTTTCATACTAGTAAATGTGACCCATTTTGATGTGATGTTGCTCCCTTGAGGTTCTAAACACATCAAAATCGTTGGCACCATTTTGATTTTGTGAAGAAAGTTACCTGAAAATCCCATTAAACTTAGTGCACCTATGACTTATTGGAGTCCACCTGCTACTAAGCATATCAACATTACAATATGGAGGTTTTTTTCATAAGCGTGTGAAATTTTCCGAGCATGGCTTCCTAAAAACCAACTCTCCACATATCATTTCCTATGGTTGGATTTTTTAAAGTCCCGCACCACGTGACCGTTAAAGTGTACTTCTCCTCCTGTGTCCACCAAAGTAGAGGTTCTTCAGTTTTTGCGATCTCTTTTGCATTTCTTTTTCCTTTCCCTCTACCTTTTCAACTACCTCCCTGTTATGTTT